ATTCAAAGAATACTTAATGTATCTTTTAAGATACAACGCTGTATTCATTCCAGATTTTCTGTTCGATGAAGATGTTTCATTTTTCGCTGAGTTAAACTCCGAAAAAATCGATTCTGGAATAAATGACATAACTTTCTGCTTATTTTCGCTCACTTCAAATCTTGTGTCTAAATTTATTATCGATCTTTGGGATGTTTTGATTTTTCAAGAAGAATTCAATCGAACTAATTCGACCGTTATCAAACATTATTCAATGAACGGAATCTTCTTGCTTAACACATGTTTTTTTTCAAGCTGCAATTCAAAACTTATTTTCAGCTTTAATTCAATGGTTTTACTCAAAGTTTCACATTTAGAACTGTTCCCTAAATATTTAACAAATGAATCTGATCAAATTAAACTTTCGTCGTATTTCGATCGACTGAAACTTATTTTCAAAGTTGTATTCGACGAAATGATGAAAATAAAATCACAATTTAGTAGATTATCGGCTACTGAAGTTTCGGCAGATAAAGATAATATTCGCTTCTCCACTACAATTTATTTAGATGTAGTTCGTAATTTGTCATTTGCTATGGAACTTAATAACTTTTTCAATTTGAATCAATCTATAGGCGACACTTTTTTGCAGCAGTTCATTCGCTTTATTATTTTACTGTACTTTAAGTCTTTTACTCATGAATTCACTCGAAATAATTTAGAAAGTTTAAAGAATACATTGAATTATTGTTTAATTTCCGTAAATAACCAAAGAAATAGTATACTATCTCTTATTCAAAATGATTTGAGTACTGAATTACTTAAATCTGGTATTTTGAATACGATTAAAGATATTGACCTGAAAAACACTACTCTTTGTTTTTTGCCTAGTTTTGTTCCTTTTGTTATTCCAAAAATCAGTGATATGCATCAACTATCCAAGACTTGTTTATCAATATTTGTTAACGTTTATGCAAGGATGGAATCGATTTTTAGAATGACATTTAGTTCGAAAAGTGAGACTGATATACAAGCCGTCATCGTAAATAACAAACAGGTTATTACTGATTGTGCTTTGTTTTTAAAGAATTTATTAAATAATATCAAAACTCTGGAGTTGTGGAACGAAATTTTTGTTTTCTTACAAGCAGTGTTAAATGATGGTGTTCAAAGAATAAATCTACTTTTTACCTTTATAAACTATTTAATTCAAAGTGGAAACTACAAAACCGGTTGCGAGATTTTAAACTTTATTCTCGAGCTTCTTGTGCTTTCAAAGCGAAAACTTTCTGCATTGTTCTACTTAGAGACTATATTAAATGAAAAACATTTCATTATCGGTTCTTACTTGAGTTTGTGGGAGTCTGGTATTTCTAATATCTTAAATTCATTCAGTAATTTGATTGCTTCCACAGTATATAAGCGACAACAAACTAATATATCAGAAGATGCTATAATGCGCGAAAATCTTTTTATTTTGGACTACGTACAGCATAGTATGGAGTCACTGATTTTAAACACCAAGATTCTACTTTTGTTTAAAGATGAAACTCCATGTAGGGATTATTCATATCGAATTGATGTATTTGCTAATTTTGTTTACAATAAATACTTTGAATTCCTAAACGTCATAATGAGGTTTGATCGAAATTTGCCAGCGACTATTGATGTAAATTTCATTCATCATTTTAACCTAAATAGTGAATGTCTGTATTGCGAAAGCATTTATTCGTCTCACACAGCATCCAACCAGTTATTCTTCTACGACACATTTAATACTTCATTATTCAACTGTCTTGCTATTTTTATCAAGACTAAATTCCATACTATTTGTTGCATAGACAAAGTAGCATTGTATCAAATCTTAAATATTTGCACTGCTAAATCGGTTTCACCGATAGAAACTGAACGAGAACTTGCAATTCAATGCTTGGCTGGTAGCTTGTTTCAAATCATGTCTATTCTTTGTGGTCATGGTTTAGAATCTGTTTGTAATTGCATATCAGTGACAAGTCGCGAAGAAACTGTGAAATTAATTCATTCAGAGTTTGCTGTTAATCCACCAGCTGATAAGTCGAATAAAAATTTATTTAAAAGGATATTGGTTCACCTAAGCGATGCTATAAGAGAAGATAATATTAAGTTAAATTATAATGTCACAGACATTTTTTGTAGTGTGTATAAAATCAGCAGATATTTCTACACTGAGCAACAGATTCAAGAATTTCAGACGCAAGATTCTTTAACTGATCTATTTTTTAAAATAATTATTAATCACCAATGTGAACCATATGAAGCGCTAGTTAATAATGTTTTTTTAGCAGCATTGACAAAGTATTTATCTATTGTAGTTTGAGGATCAATTTTTTTAATTTTTGTATCTATCCAAACAATTTTGCTTGCAATAAATTACGACAAATTTTTAAATAATTTTTAAAAAATTATTTGTGAATGGTACGATGGAAATTGACAATGTTTTTTCAAATGGAAATGTAAATCATGTTAATGGTAAACTGCTTCCTAAATTGATAGGATTTTATTCAAGTTTAAATATAACTTTAACCTGTTTAAACAATAATACAGCAAATAGTATACATAAAGCTATACTTAAATTTTTAAGTAAATTTAACTTGGATTTAGCATTAATTTTTAAGTTAGAAAAAGACTTTAACACTTTAGAGAATAAAAATTACATTAACGAGTTTTTTAGCGAGTTTACTCAAGATCAGTTCACACCTAACGAGAAAGTCACTCTAATAAACGCACTAATTAAAATTTATTTCAGTCTGATTACCTACAGTACACTGCCAGAGATTAAATTAAATATAAAAATTAATCAAATTATAAGTGTGCTTAAAACTTTGAATTACTCTAAAAATAATAAAAATAACAACGACACCAATAAATTGTTTGCTAGACTGACAACTCAAAAATGCCAAATCATTTTTTGTGAGGACTATATTTATGTATATCGTAGTTCGCAAAAAATTTTGAACGAGCTGGCTAATTTGTCGATCAACACAGTTTTTAACGAAATACTAACTAAAGATTCAAGCGATTACATTTTTTTAAAAAAAAACTGTGATGAGTTTTTAATTGAACTAGTCAAATTCAATTGTATAGTTGGCGAAAGTTATGATTTGTTTGTTGAAAAATTAATAAATGAGTTGGAAGCTTATTTGGATGATGAAAACGATAATTCCAGAAATGAAAAGCTAATTAATTTGTTAGGCTTGAGGCATAACTTGACGTTACATACTAATTTCCTTCTTAATAACACGATAGTCAATATAATGCCTATAGAAACCAAATTAGAAGACCCAACCGTGATTTCGTTATCAATTAAACATAATTCGTGTTTTTTCGACCCTACAATCAGTTGTTTTCTTGATAATTTGAAACGAATTTCTCAATTGAGTTTTTTTGTCTCTATAAACGTAGACCTGAAACCGGAAGACATATACAAAACTATGTTATTCAGAAAGGAATCGATTTACCAAAATGCTGAATCTGTAATTTCGTCTAAAACGTCAAGTAAGCTTATTCAAGACGTTGCTATGTGGTACAAACTGTGTTTTGTTAAAAAGCTCAGTAGTTTCAAGTTTAACAATTTATCTCTTTCTTACAAAATGAAAAAAATGCGCGAAAATTTTGTTGATTCTAGTAAATATGAACCAAATTCAGCAGTTTCTTTTGTGATTGTCTCCACTCCCGTTGGCAAAACCTTGCTACGGAAATCTGTGAACCGTAAAAGTATCAACTGCCAAGCTTCTTCTTTTGACGATCCAGGTGAAAGTGAAGCTCATGCATTACTGCAGCAGATTTTAGCTCTGAACACAGTGGAAATTCTCGACAAAAAAATATTGACGCTGGGTAGCAACAGAAATCGTTATGAGGGAAAAGGTATATGTCTTTCAGCGCTTTTTTACTTGCTGAATTTTAAGCCTGACTCATTGCGAATCGAGACTTTTAAACATACATCTCAGTCTAGCAGGTTTTTACGTCAGATAGTCGAGTACGATTTAATCGTTATCAGTGATTACATTTACGAAGATTACGAAGACTTCTTCTATACATATTTTTCTTCAGATTCACCACAATTAAAAAACGTACTGGAAGTATTCGAATTTCTTGTCTGGATCATAAATCTACGAACAGAAGATGAAGTTGTGCAGAAGGTTCGCACGTTTCAATGGTTGGTAGACATCAACCAATTTGTTAGCAGTAGTTCAGCTTTGAAAGAAGTATTTTCTGCCAAGCTTCCCAACTTGTGGCTTGTCGACGAGCCCGAAGATTCGCCCTATCACAGCGAATTGCATCTGTATACCACAGCTAAAATGTTTCTTCCTGCGAACAACAAAGCTTACATTATTCCTCTTACCACAAAACATCAAACACGCATCGCGGATAAGGCAAAGGAATTATATCCTGTACTTTATCCAGACTCGTGCACATGTGTCCGTTTATTATGTTCAGCAACAATGAATTTAATATACGACAAAACTCTAATCAAAACGCTGCCTAAAGGCTCATTCGTAGTTGCAGTCATGCCAAAAATAATTTCGTATCACGACGCAAATATAGATTTCAAGTCGTTTTTAACGAAAGAAGTTTATATGAACATTACTGACGAACTAATGGAAGATTACAATTATTTAAAACAATCAAATGTTAGATTTGTTTCGTACAAATGGCTTGAAGAAAGTTACATTTCCGGTGTTATGGTGCCAATAAATAATTATATTGTTAAATACGACGCAGATAAACTCATGTGGATGATAAGTTCTTAAATAATATTATTCATTGTGGGTTTATAAAATTATGTGTTCATTGCGTTTGACTCAAATTAAAATCAATAATATTATTATTTTAAAATTTCAAAAATAGTTAGTTTCGAACTGCTTTGGAATGAAATCAAAGCTTACATTTATTATAGTCCATTAGCTAACATCGGATAAAAATAATACTTAATTTATATTTGATTTTAGCGCGAAGTAGTTTTATAAACATAGTGTTTACCGATGAAACTAGTGTCAATATTAATTTTTAACTGCCAAGAAAATTCTACTGGTGAAGTAAAAGCTCACCTATTGTACAAACACGTAGATCTGTCCAGTTTCAGTTTTTTTATTCGTTCAAGTTTAAACCAAATCGTATTGTTTCACTCTAGGCTAATATGCGCCCGCATCGAAGCACAAAAAAGAGTTAGTGTTAACTGTGATCATGGAGTCACCTGCCATGCGTTTAAACATATGAGTGGTTTGGCTGCTAGTGTGATAGCGAGCCAGGATTATCCGGAAGAAGCTGCGTTTTCACTTTTGAACAGGGTGCTAAACAGCTTTATTTCAAAATATCCCATCCACATAATAACACAAAAAAAAACTGACGTTGAGTTAGACTTTGTAGAAGGAGCTGCCCTGTTAAATAAATTCCAAAACCCAATGGAAGCTGACACCACGCTTCAAATAAAAGGTCTGATTGACGAAGTTCAAGATGACTTAAGAGTGGCTCTAGACAATATTCTCAAAAGAGGCGAAACAATCGATTCGTTAGTGTCTAAAACAAATGATTTGAGTGCTGCTTGTGAAAAATTTTACCGCAAAGCGAAATCACAAAATCAATGCTGCAAATGGTATTGATGTTTGTGAATTCACAATGCGACGTAACATGTGTTTTCTGGATCTGATGAATCATCATACTGCTTGAATTCGTCGATTTGAAACATTCTGATAAATTTTTGAGGATAATAAACTTACTTTAATAAAAAATAACAAAATGTCAGCGTCATGCTCGCACAGATATATTGGATAAAAGCGGCTTGTTTGTTGTAGAAATTATGCATAATTCCTGACAGAATGTTCTGAATGCAGATAGACAATAAAAACGATAACATTATCTTTAGCAGCACAGCTTTTTTAGAAATAAGACTGTATTCTGTGGACAGAAGATGCACAAACAACGAAGCAGCTAAAAGAATCGTCATTAACAATCGTAAATACTTAAAAGTACTGAAACAAGGACTTATTGATTCAGCAAAGTTCATGAGTAAACTATGCGAGTCGTGGTCTCCTTCTTTTACAATCATTTCGAAGTCTTTGAGCCTGTTCTTGTCATACAGTTCTAGTCGAACAGTCTGTTCGAGCAGTCCAAATTTATCCCAAGTTTTACTCTTACTTTGTAAACCAATAGCGCTAATATGTGTCGCTTTATTAGTGTAAAAGGAAATTCGTACATCTCCTAAAGCGGGATTTAGAGGGTCACCAGAGTAAATGTAGCGGTCGTTGATATTTGCAACGGTTTTGTTTAGATCTTGAAATAAGCTTGAGTTAACAGACTGTCCCGAACCCAAAGCGAGTTCTACCGGTTTACGGGTTTTTAGTATTCGTAAAATACTGTCGTTCACTGTAAACTGGCCTGCCTTCACGGATTTCGAGTATTTTCTTCCATACATAGGCAGGTATGGAATATAATATTGTGATTTGAACGATTTGGGAACGTGTGAAAGCCATGTTGCTGCTTTGGAATTTTTCGTCAAAGGCAAGTAAATTTCCACTTCAGTCTCGAGGAAAAGACCTTCAAACGGCGAAAGAAACTCGGCGTATTCTTTCGGGATCTTGAACTTTGAATTATAAGTCAGTAAACAGTCAATATGGACCAATTTCCTTTCGTTTTGCGGTTCAGGCGAACATGACGAGTTCACAACGTACTTTTTTATTGTTAGTACACGGCGATATATTTGTGTTTTGTAAGAATGAAGAAACACTAATTTTATGAATAAGACCAAAGTGATGAAATATAAAATCTTTCTTCCATATTTATTAGCTTTAGACTCATGGCTTGACATTTCAGTGATGGTACATTTCTCCATTGCTTGGTGGTGCACAACTCAGTTAAAAAATAATTCTGTACACTTGTACAATTCAAAGTAAAACAAATTATTGTCACAACTTAGTTTGAATTTAATTCATGTGTCATTTATTTTTTAAGTAAGTTCATATAGCGCTGAATGGAGGAATTGCCGTAACATTTGTCATAGCCCACAATATTATATTCAGCCATATTCAAATACTGGTAGTCACTTTCAGAGTATTCTGAATTATCGTTTTCGCCCGCCAACCGTTTTTTGTAAGACTCAATTTCATCGTATATTTTGTATTTCGTTTCAAACATGTGCTCAAAGTATTCAACGTTGAGTTCGACGTCTTGAAAAATGATGTATCCCTGAAGCTGAGCAACGCACTGTTTTTTGTAATAAATAATGATAGTAGGTACATTTTTGTCTGAAAAATTAGGGACTATCACATCGCAAATACCTTTGCAAAACTTGACCTCTCTGTGTTTTTTCGCCAGAACAGCGAAGATCTCGTTGATTTGTACACACATTGGCTGCGAATCTTTGTACAAGTGCAACACGACAAAGTGTTCTTCGCTAGCTTCAGTTACTTCTTTCATATAAGTATCGTAGGAGATTTTATACACTTCGCCAAACTTCTGTCGTTGTCTGTAAAGTTGTAACTGGCGAGAGCGTTTTAGTTTGTACTCTTCGACAAAGGGATCGTCTGTTTGCTCATATAGCTCTGTCAATTCCGCGATTGTCTTAAACTCTAACGGGTCTAACTCTTCGATACGTTCTTGTAACTCATTACAAAGTTCTTCTTGTTTAGGTTCGGCGACGTAAGGATCGTAATTCCCATGTTTGATTTGCTGCTCGTCCCATTCGGTTGTATAATTAATTGGATGTGTCGAACTCATTACATTTCCAGTAAATTTAATTCTAATGAAATATTTATTTTGCACCTAAACAATATTTTAACATTAATTTTCATACTTGATATGATAAATCTGCTTTAATCGCATAGTTTGATCTGAATTTTATTTAAATGTATAGGCCACCTATAAACGCTGTGTTGCATTTATCACAGAAATAGTTTACCTCTTTAGTGCAATAATTCTCGCTGAAATAACATTTATAAACGCAAGTGTGTTTGTACATCGACTTCACATCAAACGGAATCAAGTTATTAGTCAGATTATCTAGTATACTAGTGTAAGTGTTGTTTGAGGAATTTTTTACAGTGAACTAATAATATTTTTTTTAACTACTTACCACGTTCGCGTTGGCATCTTTCACATAATGACTAGTAGCATAAAACTTGTCGCTAGTTTGTCTCTTTGTACATTCTGAAATAATTCCGTTAAAACGGCATGGTAAAGAAGGTATTGGATCGAATTCTTCCGTCCAATTATTTGATTGCACGTTTTTCTGATACCATTGCGTTAGCTTAGCATCAAAACACTTTGGGGTAGCAAACGATTCAACTGATACAACACAGTCAGCGCAATACGCTTTGAAAAATATACTAAGCACTTTGCTAATAGCAGCTCCTAAGCTGTGTCCGCTCAAATTAATTTTTGGCTGCTTACATTGTGAAAAAATTTCAGTTTTCAAGTAGTTGAAATAATTTCTTGCAAGTAAAAACCAACCGTGGTGTACTTTTCCTAAGTGTTTTTTGTCTATGCTGTAAAAATCAATAAGATCCATTTGTAGATTAATTATCCACTCATTTATCGTGCCACGAAATAACATTAAAAATTCACATTCATTCTTTCGGTTTCGTAAAAGCTGGCCGATGGGTAAAACGCTAGTATGAGGAATTGATAGATAAAGAACTGTAATACTTTCCCATCCAGGCAAAGTTTGTGGCAAATAACGCGTTGGATCACAGTTGTGAAAATGAATCGAGTAATAATACAATATGTAAATGGCTCTAATTAACCAGTATCGTCTGTTTCCTTGTTCTAAATCGAGTTTATTCATAAATGTTGGAAAACTGATGTGTAACGCCGTATTTTTTATGTTTTGTACTATCAAATTGTTATTAGATCGTATTTTACATGATAAATCTTTGTTAATATGATTTGCATTTTGACAAGTTATGAAGTTTTTTTGCGGTTGCAAAGAACAGTGCAAAAAATGTCTCAGAAATTTCCAGAAATAACATTTTGTTTCATCCTTGAAATCAATGCGGTTACAAAAGTAGTCTCCAATATTGTGATTTTTTTTCTCGGTATCATTAACGCTAGATGTCAAAATTAGCTTGATAATTTCAAGAATATTAGTTCGATCAAAAAAATATTTTATCGTTTGCGTCATTTCGGCAAAGTCAGTAACTCTTGCACTTGTATCATAATCGTTCAGAAAAGGAAAAAATGTGGAAATTTCTGTCCATGATTCATTCATATGCTTTGTGCCATACGTTAAGTTATTAATAAACTTTAATATATTATTAATGACTCGTCTAGCTTCGAAATCTTCTTTTGCAAACAAATTAGGTTCATTCTTAGTAAAATAACTCTGAAAATTTTTTTTTTTTTGAAAATCAGTTCTTTCTGAGCTAATTTTAGATATTTTAGTTGAAATAGCATTTACCAAAGCACTGTGAACTTGGAATAAGTTATTATTAAAGTCAAATGCGTATCTGACAGCTTCATCAATATTCGAAACAATAGAAATGTGACATACTGGCAACGGCTCAATATACTTTTTTTCAAAATTGTAGTAGTATTGTTTTATACGGCATTCAGAAAGTTTGAGCCAAAGATAAATTAAGCCAATCATTTGATTTTAAGTACACATGTGTGTGTATGAAACTTTCCGCTCGTTAATAATTTTTTCATACTTTCGCTTCAATTTGTCGTAATTATTCCATAGTCGCGATCTTGTTATACTTTCTTTGATTTGTTTCTCTAAAAATCATCTATTTTGTGACTTACCTGACTTATAACCTTTAGCTAGAAGCTCATTTTTGATTTTCTTGAATTCGTTTAAATTAATTTTTAACTTTCGATATTGACAACTAAAATAGTATGATTGACTATTTCTCAATTTTCGTATAATGCTTTTTTCTTTTATCTCTTTTAGCTTTAGGGTATTATATTCTTCTTCCAATTTTTGTAGCACTTCTAGCTGCTGATTGATATCGTCATTAGGATTATCTTGCGGCATTGGATAATATACAACAGTTTTTCTGTAACACTATACACTTTTTGCACTTACCCTGAACTCCAAATTCTAACTTTATTTTTTGCAGCTAAATTATTTAAACTGTCTTGTATTAATTTTTTCGAATGAGCATGATGCAAATTATCGTATATATTTTGTACGTTATAAGGTCGTTGCTAAATGTAGGTTAATGTAATTATTTGGATCCTTACTTGCTTATTGATATATTCAAGTAAAATAGTTTCTATAGACATTGTGTTTATAAACGCAAATTATGCAAGATTATATAAAAAATGGAATGTGTGAGCAAGCAGTTCATATTAAACTTGTAAATCTAATTAATGGCTATTTTGCGCTGAATAAAAATGTTCTGTCGTATTAAAAAAAAAAAACTAATAAAATTATTGCGGTTAAACTGATTAATAGCACTACCGTTTGACTCTTAGTCTCCGCAAATATGTCGACTTTTATTGCTACTGGTTCTAAGAACCCTAAAAAACAAAGCTATTTCCAAAAGCTTGGTGAATTGGTCAACAATAACGATGATATTCTCATCGCCAGCATTGACAACGTTGGTTCCCGCCAACTCGCCGAAGTTAGATACGCGCTAAGAGGTATCGCTGACGTTGTGTTAGGTAAAAACACTATGATGAAGTCCTGCATTAAGCGTGTTTTAACTGAAAAGCCAGAATACCAGAAATTGATTGACATCCTTCAAGGTAATATCGGTCTTATTTTCTGTTATGAAGACGTTACTCAAATCAAGAAAATCATTTCTAACTTCAGAGCTCCAGCTCCAGCAAGACAGGGTATCATTGCCCCATGCGATGTATACGTTCCTCCTGGACCAACTGGTATGGATCCTGGTCAAACCTCTTTTTTTCAGTCTTTAAGTATCCCAACCAAGATTGTCAAAGGTCAAATCGAAATCCTCAATGAAATTTATTTGATCAAGGCTGGTGAAAAAGTTAATGCTTCTCAAGCAACTCTTCTTGATAAGCTTAACATCAGGCCATTCTCTTACGGAGTTGAATGTACTACTGTCTATGACAAAGGTACTATCTATCCAGCTTCCGTCCTTGATATTGGTGAAAAAGAAATATCTGAATCTCTTACCAGCGTTGTCAGCAAACTCACTGCTATTTCTATGTCTTGCAGTCTTGCCAACGAGCTTTCATTGCCCCACATTTTGTCTACTGTTATGAGAGAAACCTTGGCTTTGGCTTGTGCTTGTGAAATCGAATGTGAAGAACTCAATCAGCTCAAGAATGCTGCTGCTGCCACTGTTGTGGCTGCAGCCCCAGCTGCTGTTGAATCTAAGGCTGCTGAACCTGAGCCAGAATCAGAATCTGACGACGATATGGGCTTTGGTCTGTTTGATTAATTATAGCTTTATTATTCATACATTTAACTTAGTTATGCTTGTTTTCACTTTAATTTTATAACTTATCTGTTTTTGTTCTTTATAAAATTTTAAATTAAAGAATACATAAACGTTTTATAGTTTGAATGACTAGCTTCATGCCTATCATACTTTTTTAACAGTTAGCATATTGGGTTTTTCGTTTAAATTAAAGATAAAATTTATTATTTCTCAGCATTTAATTAATTATTTAGTAGTATTTCTGTAGAATTACTGAGTATTTTTCAATAACTAATTTAGATTTTAAAAAATTTTTTTGTATGTGATAAGTTAATCATGGTTCTGAGTCAGACTATAAGTACTATGATTAAGTTTGATAATAGGTAATGTATAACTAAAGAGAGTTTAAAGTTTATGTTAACATATAACATAATTTACTTGTTGTTCAATCATAAACAATTTAGATTTTATTAAGGCCTAGTTTAGTAAATACAATATTTTTTTCTTTTTGAAAGTTTTTTATATTTTTATCATGAAGCTGGAATTTCTTCAAAACCCTAAATATCAAAAGCGTATAGACGATAATATATTTTTATACTCATTGACTGATTTAGAAGATTCAAGTTTCTTAAGAAATGAAATCAACAATGTCCATAAAATACTAGGATTCACGCCGTTGTTACCTTATCTATTATGTTTGTTTGACAGAGATAATTTAATTGAACTTCATGTTTCAACAGGTCTCGTTGGCTTGCATGGAATCTATCTCAAGATTGATGAATTCGAAAAAAATATTTCAATTTCTTTTTGTTGTAACTCTTTTTCGAAACCTACAGTGATCGAGCCTCGCAAGATTTATTCTTATTGTTTTCGAGAAGAAAAAGCAAAACTAGACATTATTAATTTATCAATTGAACTGAACAGAGTTTCATACAAACATTCTGTTGACTATTTATATGATTTATTTTTAAAACGTCTTGAATTGCATCTGGCAAATCAAGACCAAGTTAACATATTGTTTAGTGGTGGTATTGACAGTTCTATAATGACATTAGCAACTTTAACACTGAATAAATCTGTAACATTGTTTAACACAAGCTTTGATGAATTTGCTAGTCCTGATATTTTAACCTCTCTTTCAACTTTTTGGGAACTGAAATTAAACTTTCCTGAATCAAATCTGAATTTAGTTTTCAACGTGGTAACTCCAGAATCGATAGAGCAAACCCTACCTAAAGTTAAAAAAATTATTCAGCCTTATGCAAGTGATCTAGATAATTCAATAAGCTTAGCTATTTATCATGCTTTATCGTTGAAAGGATTCAAAATTAATTCAATTGATCAAGTAAAGGCTATTACAAATTGTAATGAATTAAGCGATTTGAAAAATATATTACAACAAGTCGGATTTCTTTACAGTGAAACCTCTCATTTCACTGTACCTGGTAATAGTAATGGTAATAACGCGAAAACAGCCTCTGTAAATAACGAGCTTGATCTTTGTTTGTTATGCAAGCGCTTGAAAACCAAACGGAATTGTCACCACAGATTATGTGGAATTTGTTGTAGAGCTTCAGCTGCTAACGATAAATCTTATAGATGTAGAGCACATAGGTGTGGATTTAAATTTATTCAGAAAACCGTCAATGAGACTATTTCTTACTTTAATACCAATTGGAATTCAATAAAGCATACGTTAGAATATGTTTCATATGCAAATGTCCCAGGTATAATTTTGGTGGGGAGTGGAGCTGACGAATTATTTGGAGGATACGCTAGGTTTAAGACCGTTTACTTGAAAGACGGTTTGAGCGGTTGGCGAAACGAAGTTGACAAAGATTTCTACAACTTATGGAAGCGAAATTTATTTAGGGATTTTACTATTTTAGTAGGTAGAGTTAAAGAAAATTTTAGCGACATTTTTTCCCAAAGTGTTTACTATCCGTTCCTCGATGAGTACATTGTAAATTTTGCCTTGTCCTTGGACAATACAACATTATTTAATGGTTTTAATTGTAAATTCATTGCGTCATCGGATCAAAAACTCATTGTTGAAAAACCCGTTCTTAGAGAACTTTGTTATTCTAAATTTAACTTATGTATCCCTTCACTTTTAAAAAAACGTGCAATTCAGTTTGGTTCTCGTTCAAGTAAACAGACAGACTTTAATGATAATAACGTTGTGCCAAATTAATGCGATCTGTCTAATATTAATTAAACTGTGTGGGTTTTTCAATATTATGTCTCAATTCTAGAAAATCAAAAAGTCTTTACACAATCAGATTAAAATCAAATTTATTTAATGTTAAAAACCTACATTGAAAATAAGCTTAATCCACCGACAGAAAGTCAGTCAAGTCATAGTACCGAAAACAAATTCTTGTTTACAGTCGATTATGAGAATGACTTGCTGCAAGGGGGTTCGACTCCTTCGACAGCCGCTATGTCATCTCCTCTCGAGTTAAAAACACACTTTGCCGAACTCGCAAACGTTGAAGACTATTTCGCCGAAATAGAATCTAAGTTTAACGTTGCATCGCGAACTTCTTTAGGTTGGTTTAGCACAGAGTATTTGTCTTGTCAAAACGGTTTTGACCCGTTTGATATTTTAGATTTATATAGAAATTTTCTGTATTTGAGATCGTTGCGCTTGCAAGTGGACTATTCAAACGATAAAGAAGATAAAATAGTATGCGACTTAATTGAAGATATACTTGCAATCATTCTTAAACAGCCATTTGGAGAAGTCTTGCTGAAGCTAAGTATGATTAAAGATAATTGTAAACAAATTTGGTACGTTTTTTACGAACTGGCAGAAATTATTCAGTTGAACCCCGCTTATATCTATACTTCGCTTCTAATTTCATTTTTATTCCCTTGCTTACCGCTGTTCAATGGAGTTAAAAACGAGAGCAATAAATTGTTTTGCCGTCAGAGTATCGTGCGAATTCGCAAAACTATAAATGTAAGATTTAATACTTTTTTCGACGCGTTGAACTTTTACGCTACAGAGTCTAATGCATCTAATTTTATAAAAGAAAAAAAAATCTCGGATCAAGTTATAATTGTCAAAGATAAAACACTGTTAATAAGTCCTTTTCTTTTAATGAATTTAATTGAAAACCAGCGAAAAGAAGGAAAATTCATTAAAGTAACAGTAATACGAGAAAATAAAATTAATTCGGGTCATATTTTGGTCAACCGAGCCAACGACAAAAAAAAGTGTGACTACAAATAAACAAAGAAATTATTATTTATACTTAAATGAAAAAATATTTTGGAGGTAAAAATTTCGCTGCTTTGTTTTGGCGAGTAAAAAATGTATAGTATCCAGTGATGAATACGAAAAAATTTAAGTCATCAACTAATATAGAAACTATTTCTTGCGAGGTAAAATCAAGCACAGAACCCAAAGTTTCGTTAAATTTACAATCCATACTTGAAAATGAGTCGAACGTCGAGTCCAGCAATTCTGAAGACAGCTTGGACGTTTCGAACTCAGACTTGGAATTGTCTGACGAAACAAACTATGACAAAAATGAACAGTACTATTCACTAAGCGATGAAGAAGGAAGCAACGCGGAAGAAGACGTATCTGAAGATAATAGCGTCGTAGAGTATTCTCTCGACGCGTTACCAGATGATAGAGACGTGCTACTAGAGTATATACACTCTTTGGTTGAATTAACAGGTAAACACGCTGATCAAGAAGCTCGAAAAGGGTTTTCTCGCAAGCAGTTAATGCAGCAGCTTAGCGCGGCTTTCGGTAAATACTTTTGCTATAATATGGAAATGATAAATTATTTTTTGTCTATTTTTTCGACAAAAGATACCTTAGAATTTCTGTTGGTTAACGACGCTCCTAGACCATTAGTCATCCGATGTAACAGAATTCGCACCAGACGAAAAGATTTGGCCAAACGCCTGATTTCTAGAGGATGCCAAGTCGACGTATTAGGAGACTGGTCCAAAACCGGTTTACTCGTCACTGATTCCACGGTTCCTGTGGGTGCTACGCCTGAGTATTTGGCAGGTCATTATATGATCATGGCTGCTTCATCATTCCTGCCTGTTTTAGCGCTAGATGCTCAAAAAAACGAGCATATTCTTGAAATGGCTGCTGCTCCAGGAGGTAAATCGACTTTTATTGCTGAAATGATGGAAAACACAGGTATTTTGGTTGCAAACGATTTAAACAAAAAAAGATTAAATGCTTTGTTATCTAATATTCATCGACTCGGTGTGCGAAACGCTATCGTGACGAACGAAGACGGAAGAAAGTTAAAGGAATATTTTCCAATCAAGTTCGATCGGGTTTTGCTTGATGCTCCGTGTTCTGGATCAGGAGTTTTCTCCAAAGATCCAGAAGCTCGTATCAAAAAATCTTTGGCAGATTTCCAAAAGATGAGTACTCTGCAAAAAGAACTTTTACTCAGCGCAATCGATTTGACAAATGCAAACTCCCCTAAAGGAGGCATTATAGTCTACTCTACATGTAGTATTGCTGTAGAAGAAAACGAAGCCGTGATTGACTACGCTCTGCGTGAGCGTAATATTAAACTACTTGAAATTGATTTCCCCGGCACACCTGGTTTTACGAGGTACAAGGACAAGAAATTTCATCCTTCGTTGAAGAACGCCCGTAGAGTTTATCCACACAAAAACGGGATGGACGGTTTTTTTTTTGTAAAAATAAAAAAACTTGACAACTCGATCCCAAAATCTGCTAAATCAGACAATTAGTTTGGTGAACGCAAATAGTATGTGTCCGTTGAACCTTTGAGTTCTTTTATCAACTTTTATTAAAACACTGAATGATTATGTGTATTTTAGCTGATCAATATCATTCTTCGTTGTTTGCAATGCATATTATTAGTAAGGAAAATTAGTAAATTTATTTTATTTTTTCTTAAATAACAGTTTAGCTTAATACGTATTCAGTTAAGCAATGTAACATAAAGTTTTTAAACTCTCTCAACAAAGTTTTAGTCAACGCGTATTAAGTGAAGATGCAGCCTGGTCAAAAACCAATTCAAAGCACCAACATCAACGCTGTTGATAGCTATTTCAAATCGTACGTTGAAGATTTAGTAACTAAAATTGTCCAATCGTCTAACTCAAACGAACACATAAACAAAATGTCTGTTGATGTGTTGAGTCAACTTGTTTTTTTAATGGTCAATAATACAGTAATTGAATACGCCAGCTTGCTTGATACATTTAGTCAGTCTGGATCAGATGAATACAAGTTTGACTTCGATATATACGAAACACTTCACCAAAATATCGATAGTATTTTGCAGAATATATTAAAGCTTGATAAATAAGAATCAGTCTGATAAGTAGGAATTTGCGTCCGATAAATCAGAGTCTGATAAGTCTGAATCAGCTGACTCTAAGTTTTTTGACATGTGTTCACTGTCGTCAAGTTCTCGTCGTCGTTTATTTTCACCAAAACTCATCGCGTCTGCATCTGGATGAAGATTGTTCACATCATCGTCAGAGTCAGAATAAAATTCCTCTGAGTTCTCTTCGTCACTCTCAAGCTTTTCTTTAGCTAAAGCTTCCGATAAAAGACGTTTCTTCAAGTTTTCTTTGTAAGAACTCATAATCTTGTTTTCTTGCTTTTGCGTTGGAGCTTTCAAGCAGCGGTCTGCCTCAAATAAGTCTTCACTAAAGTCTTGATTAACGAGCAGAGCACTTTTCGCGTTTGTTCGGTACATGTGACTGTTCACCATGCGTTTGATGTGCCCAACTGCATCCTTACGAGTTGTAGAAGTCGTGCTAGGAATAAACTGTAGCTCTTCCTTTAGCATGTCGAACTCGTTATCAAGCTCGTCAAATTCTTGCTGTTCAGCAGCTCTTTCTTGTTTTTTGAGTAGTTTCGCATTTTTGGAGTTTTTGATGATTTCGTTGAGCCGCTCTGTTCTAGACAATTTTTTGCTCTTGTCATCTGTTGCAAAGTTTAATGTTGTAAGTTTTTCTGTATATTCTTGTTCAATGTTATTTTCAGAGTCGGAGTGGTTGTCGTTGAACATTGCTTCATCAATCATTTCAATTTCGCTCTCTGAATCTTCCAAATCATATTTTCGTTTGTTTATATGATATTTCGCATTAGAAATCGATAACGAATCGTTGTTTCGTCGCTGAGTACCTTTGATAATGCTGCTCAACACGTCAGGTTTACCACTTAAGGAATGAGAAGTCTTTTTATTTGTCTTTTTTACTGGCTGATTTTGTCCTAATACCCTATGCCCAATGTAATTTTTTTTTGCAGATTTTTTAGTTCTTTTCATCGGCGATATGGATGAAGAAATAGAACTCTAATGCTTTGAAATTTCTTAAAATATTACCTTAATTGTGGGTAATTAAAGAACAATTTTAAACGGAATTAGAAAATAATCTTTGCGCTTTTTCGCTTCAACAAAAATAATTTACTTACGTTTAAATTGTAGCTATTAATCGACTTATACTTCTTGCTGAATTAACCATATGACTGAAAAGGGCGATTTAATTAAATCCAAAATCTTGGATTGCGTTCGCGACGCCGGCTACGAAATGATATATGAAGACGCACTGGATTATTTGACAAACATGTTAAAAATTAAGTTTTTCAAAAATATATTTTTTAGGCGAAGTTGTGAAAATCTTGCAAAGATCTAAATACATTGTTTCGTCGAATGACACAACAGTCATATCAAAAGCGATTGTCGTTCGAGCTGTCTACGACCGTACTTTGCACAAAAATTATTCGCCTTTTTTATCGCGTGAAGTAAGTTTATACGTGGGCCATCGATTTACCTTAAATGAACCAACGCGTCTCATTTAAAAGTTGCATCGTCCAGAAAAAAAAATTTTTTTAGTCTGAATCATTGATTAAATACGCATCAGTCAATTTCCAACCTTTGCCCAAGTACCCAAGTGATTCAACAGGTCTGATCCTGCCGCCAAATTCGATAAAATAAAGATAAATACTTTAAAGTAACAAAAAAATGAAGCACGATTTCTTTATACCAATTGCATGCTATTTGTTTCATAATTAAAAGATGAAGAAGGAGGAGAAAAATATTCAAATGACTGATAACGACAGTTATCGAGAATCTATCAATGTTACGTTGCCTCCAAACGTAAAAACTACGGTGCACCAACAAGACGGTGTTGAATTTAAACAAGTTTTCAAAAAAAGTGAAGAGCAGGATTCCAGTTCCAAAACAACAGTGATTTTCGATCCTGAAGAATTCGAGCTTGTCGAATTAGAAGACAGCAAAAACTTTCACGTCCGTACTATCAATCTGGACAAGTACCTGCCAGAAATTGTCAAAGTTAAAATACCAGCGACAATTCATGAACAAGAAATTATCCCTATCGTTATAAACGAAGTTATAACCGAAATCGAGGATCCCAACAACGTCGTTTACCAAGATGAAGTACTAATTGTTCCTTATCTGGAATATAATTGCTTGGAAGACCCGCGGTTCATCCATGAAAGCTCCAAACTCGTAAATTGTGAACGCTTGCCGTACGACGAAAAAAACGAAGATATTGAGCAGTTTATTCCTTTCATGAACATTAACCACCCAAAAAAAGAAATCTTATTGCGTTCTGTGCTACCGTCCATTACGTTTGAAACAAAGTGAAAATATTCATTTACAAATTATACATGAAAGCTACACAATTTTATTTATCGTACGTTAACTAAAGTTATCGGAGTGTTTTACTCGTCAGATTGCTCTTCTCGAGCAGCTCTAAGGCCAGCTCTCGAGTAGCGGAGGTTACGAAGGTATTTTGGGCACATTCCCTTTTGAGAAGATTTTCTGTGCTTCGAGCTTAGCTTGGCCTTTTTGATACCGTTTCGGTGATCTTTTCGGTTCTAAAAAAATATAAACGCCTTTTTGGTTCGACTTACTTGGTTGTGATTAGAAGAATTCTTACTTTTTGCCATGATTTAATATTTGTGCTAAATGCTAAATAAATTATTTCACTATTTTTTTTGTTTTGTTTCAACTTTTTATTTGCGGAAAATTTGATTAAAACTATAATTTTAAATTGATGACAAACGTGGCCGTTCGAGACATTCCTTACTCAGAATCGCTCGAATCACTTGAGTCGGAGTCAGTGGAAATTTTAGATTTCGTTTTCTTTATTTTTTCTTGTTTAACTTTTTTTTCGTTTAGACGTTCCTGATCTGCACTGGCCAAACGTTTTTTAATGGTTTGTAAATAGTCGTCCCGTGATTTAACAGATTCAGTATTGCCTTTCGAAAGTTTAGCCATTCCTTCAAAAGTGGACGGATCAATCTCTTCGTCATCACTGTCAAAAAACTTGTGTTCAGTTTTTACCAAACTGGCCGCGCCTTTTAATGAAGCGGTACCGTCAGTTCGAATTCGTAACCGTTGTTTTCTTAGTGCTCTGTTTATTAGAGATTGTTTTTCTTCATTTAGGCTATCCAGGGTTTCTGGTAATTCAGTATCCGTCCTATTAGAACGTTTTTTGTTTTCCGTATTCTGTTTCTGCGAGCTGTGCACGGATTTGACCTCAACACTGTCCGTAACAGCGCCCTGTACAACCCTTTCATCGTCCTCGTCGATAAAATCGTCAATAGTCACTTGTAACTTGGCTTTTAACTTCTTTTCTTTTTTTCTCTCGTCTTGTTGTTTAACGTTTTCGATATACATATTTTTTTTTTTAATTTTGGACTCACTCTCTATGTACTGATTGTCTTGCACTGCTACATCAGTAGAAGCTTCGAGTTTGAGAGCCAAGTTTATCGCTGGCTTAAGTTTTAAAATATCTGGAGGACTGAGCAAACCTAGAGAAAGTGCAAATTCGTTTAACTGGTCTAAAACATTTTGAATTTTAAACACAGATTTGTCAGTGTTCAAACAGTAAGACTTGATGTAAGTGGTGATGAACTTGTCACTGAGCAATCTTACTTCGTTGTTGTGAGCCTGTAAAGCACGCAATTTAGACGCTACGCCGGATAATTGTTTAAGTTTAGGATAATATTTTTGGATATTTATTTGGTATTCTTTAATATAGTCCACAAATCGCATTTCAGACTCAAGTAAAAATAAATACGAAATTCCGGTCGCGTCACATCCTCGGCCGGTTCGTCCGGACCTATGAATATAAGTCTTTACGTTTTCTGGACAATCGTAATGAATGACATTGTCAACTGCAGGGAAATCAATACCACGCCCAATCAAATCTGTTGTAAATAGTACGGTAGTATTTGGTTTGTTTTTAAAATCCTCAAAGATTTCGATTCGTGTCGTTTGACTTTGGTTTCCGTGAATGTGATAAAGTCTACTTCCTATTTTGAGTTTTGAAAAAGCTTCAAACACAAACCTTACTTGTTTAATCGTCGTGAAAAAAACAATGATTTTGTTTGTCGAATACTTGGTAAGCAAAGAATACAGCAAATTGATCTTATCTTGTAATCCAACAACGCAATAGTAATGCTTGATTTTGCTTCCTAACTCGTTCGTGTCGTTTGAATCCTTAAGTGCGGCAACAGAAATGCTTTTTGTAGCTCCTTCGCGACAAAAGATTTTAGTCAGCGCGCTGACTGATCCTCGCATTGTCGCGCTAAAAAAAAGATTTTGTCGCCTAGATTTGTCTGGCAATACGTTAACAATGTTCTTTATATTGTCTATAAAAGAGTATTCGATCATTTTGTCAGCTTCATCACAAACTAAAAACGCCAAGTTATCTGTGCATAAATTGACACAATTTTCTAGATGATACAACACTCTACCAGGTGTACCAACTAAAATCCCAATAGAGGATAAAACTGTATTTTCGTACTTGCTGCGTTTTCCTCCAAAAGCGAGCATCAAGCTGATTTCGAAGCACGTGAATTGCTTGAACGAAGAAAAAATTTGAAATGCTAATTCTCTTGTAGGAGTAATAATCAAAGCAAAAAGACCATCTAGTTTTATCCATTGTTTAAGGTACGATTGATCTAAAATCGGAATGATGAAACATAGAGTTTTTCCACTTCCAGTTGGGGCTTCACAAATTATATCAAACCCTTTTAAAGAGTAAGGTAAGCTCATAGATTGCACTGGTGTCATGTATTTGTAGTTCGATAACCCTTTCATGCAATATTCTGACAAAGGGAGGTCGTCAAATTTGTACTTCTCATTAATCTCATTTTTTTTAGCTGAGTCTTCGTTTTGGTTTAAAAATCTCTTAGGAACAAAGGTGCCATTTATGGACGGAAGTTCGGTTTCATAGCGCTTTAAAAGTGTTTCTCGCTCCAACTGAGCTGCAGCAAAAGTTTTTTTGGTTTTTTTTTCAGGTTTAACTTGACTTCTTCGTTCTTTACGATTCATAAAAACCTACTACGATATTCACGGTCGGCACTAATTTAGAGAATTTTTAAACTTTATAATTACTACTACTTTGCTTTATTCCAACCTGTAATAATAATTATTATAAAATTTTGCTCTGCAAAAGATTCGAATTGTTTAAACCTAACTGCCAACCTAATGCGAGTAAAAAATAATAATGGGTCTGACGACCTATTTTTACGAATAAAATCTTGGTTTTACCCAGACTGGCAAAGGGTCGCTGTGCAGTTCAGTAAAGACTGTAATGAATCTAGAGACATATTTTTAAATCTTCTGAAAAAAACCTTACTAACAATCAAAAAAGATTTAATAATCTTTGAAGTAATTAATCAAAACGAAAATTGTTACTGCATTGATTATAAGGATGCACTGCATTATAAAGCACAAGCAATGATTTGTATTGGAAGCTATTGTAAATGTAAAACTGATAGAGTTCCAACACTAATAATGAGTCAGCAGATTTTCACTAATTTTATTGATGAAAAGATGAATATCTCCATGCCGCGAAACAAATTCGAGACTGATGACGAAACATTGATTCTCGTTTATGGCATAGAAGCCGATAATGTAACGACCTCAAACAGCTTTAAATCACAAATAAGAAAATATGTCGAATTTAACGACGAATGTGGAATCGTTTCCTTTAACATGTTGTTAAAACAACATTCAGTTCAACAAATTATTGAAGGTTTTAATTGCATTTTTATATTTTTCGATGAAACGACGCTTGATCTAGAGCGTGAATTAGCATGTGATTGGATTTCTCACATCACTGGTCTGGCTTTAGTTTATTATAAATTTAATGCAGACGTCTATTCGTCGATTGATTCTAAAGTTTCTCTTGCAGTGAAACGATATCCATTAATAGATAAATTAAGTACGCAACGAAGAGTTTATATCATAATTTCAGATTTTCCAGATAAAAGTCAAGTTTCTCTCGCTAAAACTATCAAAAACGTATTAAGAACTAATGGTATTGCTGCTATAATGATAACTATGAGTATAGTAACAGAAGCAAAGTTGGACAATTTTGAATCTGCTGAGTCATTTGTGGTAATTAATTGTGATTATCAATTGCTTTATCACTTGAAAAATTTTAAAAATCAAAGAAGAATACTTTATAGTCCGATTGAGTTATTAATTTTTCTAAACTTGATAGAATATTCGCCAACCTTGAATTTGACAACTTCTATGCGCGTAGAGGATATACTGAAACAATATCTAGAAGCTAACCCTGTTGCTGAGTTGGTTGAGTCACAAAAAGAAATTCAAAAAACATCTGATGCTACTCTTGCTATAACTGGTCATAATGAATTGGTTTTGAATAAGTCTAGATCATTTCAAGGGGTGAGTTACAACACTCCTGAGGAATACAGAAATGAACAGTTTACGATATATCAAGGTTTTATCGGTATTGCTGCTCAATATAACCACGAGTAGATAATAAACAATTCAAAAATAATCTTTTTTTTATAAAACTTTTTTAGAATTTTTATGGGCTTTTGCGGCGCATAAAGCATTCATGAATACCACAAGAATAAAAGTGACAATACCAAGCTTGGAAACATTCTATTGCGAATTTAATTGCATTGTAGAGGTATTAAATGGATCAGTAGACGTGTTCGGTTCTAAGCTTCGAATAGGACAAAAGTCAAAGCTTGACAACATTTACAAAGTATCGGTTCCAATTACCAATTTGAAAACTTCTGATGCAGAAATCTTGTTAAAAAAAATACATGAATTTCGTGTTTCAATGCCAAAATTGATTGTTTTAAATGTATTTTCTGAATACCATAATATTTGGCAAAAAATAAAACAACAAAATTTCCACTCAGTAGTTGTTTCAGGAGCATCGAACTCAGGAAAGAGTACTCTGGCAAGGTGGTTAATCAACAAGTATTGTTCAGTTTTTAAGGCTTGTTTATTAATTGATTTAGATTTAGGACAGCCTGCTTGGGGACTGGTAGAATGCTTCAATGTAGCTCTATTTACGACTGGATTTCATTCTTATTTAAATACCACAATTTGCGCTGAACATCCACTTTTGTTATCACAGTCTATAAGATCGCGCGATTTATCGGTCTGGAAAAACATTTTAGAGGGTCTAAATGCGTGTTTAAAGTTTAGCAGGAAAATTCAACAATCCAGCAGAGATGTTATTCCTATTATTGTTAATTTTCCTGGCTATGACGAAAATATAGCATCAAAGACACTACTTACTTTGTATAATTCACTAAGCTATGCATTAATCGTGAGAATTATTCCAGAATTAGAAAAAGTGAACGAAACAGACAGCGACAACAAAACCGTTAAAAACACCAAAATCAGATATAATCGAGAAGTAAATCGCTACCCTTACAATAAAATGGATCCAGATCAACTTTTTATCTTCTTCAGTGAGTTGGGCCTAAAAACTAAAAGTGATAAATCTTTAGTGCCAGCTTGTGCATTTGTAAATCACTTGTTCTCTAACGACTGTTTTTTATCGTTGGTCAATATTCAAGATTACAAAAGTTTATTGACACATATGTGCGATGCATCTGTCGCTTTTTCACTCGCAAATATTAGATTTCTAACTAATTTACATGAATTTAAATGCAATTCTAAAGCTGAACTACTAAATGCTAAGCTGCTTTTCAATTCTCAGTACGCTTACCTTTTGACTGCAGACCTCAACGTTCTGTGCTCTTGCTACATAATCGATATCGATGCTGATTTGAGTCTAGTCTATTTATATCTTTCTAAAAATATAGATTTTTCCTTGTGTGTTTTTATTGCGTCAATTAAAAATAAAAAAAGCGAATATAATCGTTTTCCAACTTTGTATAACTTATTCAAACAGCCTCAATTGAAGACTTCTCAAACTTGTACCATACAAACTGAATATGAATTTGCTCATATTTCTAGTTTAGAAAGCCAAACAGATAAAAACAAGAAAACCAACAATTTGTGGAACACCACCACAATTCGATCTATCCCTCGCTCGTCACATAAATAAATAGGTTCTAATAAATAAATAATTATTTCTATTTTATTGCTCCGCAAAATAATTTGGGAAAAAATAAAAGAAAATAATAATGCTAACAAGCTAATTATAGTTAGTTTTTCGATGAGTCGCAGCAATTTATCAAAAATTTTTAACAAGTATGTCGACATAGAGAAAAAATGTGAAGTACATCCAATAAACGAGTTGATCGCAGACGTATTAGTTTGCATATCAGATGAAAAAGATTCTATTAAAACCAAATTAATGAAACTTTCTTCACAACCGTTTAAATCGAGTGACGTAAAAAAATTTGCCGCTGATTTTTGTCTGTTGCTGGATGAAGCTACGTTGTATTTCGCAGATCAAAACTTATTAGAGTTACTTATATATTTTAAATCTATGTTAGCTTCGAACTTCAAGCCTTTTCAGAGCAGACTCAACAAATGGATACCTACGATGTTTTTGCTAACAGGCCGTAACGACGCTGAAGTCCAAAGTGTCGTAGATGGTATACTCAACGCTCTTTATTTCAAAATACATCCAGAAGAAATTCAATTGTTGTTTCCTTTCATGATTACTAAGTTAAAATACACTTATAAAATTATAACTACAAACAAAATCGAAGGCGAAATAGAATATGAATTAACAAATTTTTTAAATTGCTTAGGTAATGTTATCGATTCTTTTTATTTTGCCAGCCGAGAATTGTGGAGTACCAATTCTGATTATGAGGTTCTGGTTAAAACTGTTTTTGATTATATAATTGCAGCCAAAAACAAAAACGAGCACCTTATTATCACTTTTTGCAAATATCTTTCTCGTTCTGTTAACAGTATCGCAATTTTGGCACCGAATATTATAAACCATGCCACCAAAAACCTTCTCTTCCTCAGGCCTCATTACACTATAGATGACGTTTATGGAATATCAATTTTGCTGAAAACTGACAACGAAGTTCTCAAAGAAAAAATCGTACAAGGTCATAAAATCATTTTAAACAAATTGATCGATCTGATTCACAATTACAAAACTGACTTTTGCATTTACAGAGTCGAAGAAACTGTGGATCTATTAGTATATTTTTATTCGCACTTCAATTTTTCACTAGATTGGAATATGATAATAAAGAGATTATCTAATTTGTATCCTTCCTCGTACATTCACGACATTGAATACATCTGGAAATGTTTACTAAAGTTAATGGATGTTTTAGTTGACGATCGATCTACGTTTAACAAGTTTGTCACGTATTTTATTTCTTTTGTTGGCCATCAGAAACCAGTTTACGAAATAACAGCAACTTCTTCAATCATAATAAAAAGTTCTACCATGGTTTTTGGTTCGCTGGAAAGTTTGCTAGATTTTTTGTTTTATCGTATTGACAATGAATTCTTAATTATGTACTTTGCAAAAGTTGAACCAAGTATCGTTAATATTGATTTTGTGAAAGATATTGAATCAGTTTACCAATCGATTGCGGGAACAGACGATAATAAAATTGACTTAAACTGCACGGTTCTGGCTGAACTTATTTGTTACGTTTTAAATAAAATGGAAAAAAAAGATCAAGATACCGCTCTGAATAATGCTCTCTTTATGATAAATAAATTAGAACTCAAAAACTTAATTGTTTTTATCTACAGCACCAGAAAGTCTTTTGTTTCTAAAATTTTGTTGAATAATGATAAGATTAAAACATTTACTAACTTAAAACGCTTTAATAATTTAAGCTGTCAATTAATGGTTGAAATATTTACTTACG